GGTTTAAATAGGTTAATAGGCCTAAGCCAAGATTTTTATTTTTTAAATATAGGTCAAACCAGACTTGTAATTTGGGACTACACAGGCTAACAGACCAAGCCAAACTCAATATTTTTTACATAGACTTGACCTATTTAATCTAAGTCTAGCTTAACCTAACTTATTTACGCCTCTAGTCTTGATGCATCTGTTGTAAAACTATTATTGTAAATGGTTCGTGTGAATTAATAGCCATCTTAACTATATTTATTTGTATTATAAAGCAAAGAAATTAATTTATCATAAGTTATAAATTGGTTGATTTTATAAATAAATTCATTATTATATTAGGTGATGAGTTGTAAATAATTTTTTTTAAATATATACCAATCAGTGGCGGAACTAGGGAGAAAATTCAGTCAGTACCAAAAGATTCAATTAGTAAAATCTAGTTAGTACTAATGTTGTATTATTTTTAAAAATCTAACCAATATTAAGACTATATCATAATTTAAAAAAAAAATGTAACATTTTTGAAAATTAGTCAGTACGAAGACACCACCTAAGAGTCAAGTGGCTCAGCCACTGGTGTTAATGGTATACAAACTGTTGCGTCACAAGCAAAATATACAATTACTAAACTGCAATTATATAAGTAATGCCTTATTTATCAAAAAATACTTTACAAATCTAACAAAATCATAGCACCATAATTTATTTTTTTATTTTTTTTCCTTTCTTTCACTAACACGAATTTCACATTTTAATCATCGTAAGACGGATAAATGAACATATTTGTGCAGATTCGTGCAGTTTGTAAATCTTTTTTTAATATTTATTGCATAAAAAAAAAAGAATCTAATGATGTTAAAGTGAGTGTGAAGCATTCTTTCTCTTTGTATGTCACCATCTAATAAAAATAATAATAATTAGACTGTGGGTCCCCTTAATTAATCATGCGCAAGTAACTTTTTTTTTTTTTTAAAAAATAATAGGAAATTTAAACAAAAACACAACAAAAAGAAACTAGGCACAAAGCCTAGACCAGTGAACACCTATAGTGTCACCATACAGACTATCAATACAACCTGACGGTGGACAATCAAATTCCTGAATTACCCAAGAGAAACCACAAGAGTAAGAGGCTAGAAAGTCCGCTACTCTATTTCCTTCACGGTGAATGTGAGACATATAAATCTGCCAATCTCGCTGCATCAAATTTCGAATACGATTCACCAAATTAGCCGCAGGGTAATCATGGTGGCACCCATTTGTAATGAGCTGTTGAGCTGAAAGAGAATTTTCTTCGAGCCAAACTTGCCTAAAACTTATATCCCAAGCTAGCTCCAAACCAACCGCGCAGGTAACTTATCCGTGAGAATGCTATCATTGGTTTATTTTCTGTTTTTTGTTTTGTTTTTCTTTTTGTTTTTGGTAGTTTGCAACGGTAGTTTGCTATCATTGGTTTTAAGCACCCGTGAACCACTTCTAGAATTTGACAACTACATAGACTCTTGCAATGTGTCCTTTTCAAAGTTAATTCTTGAGATATTCAAGTGTGATGAATGACATATTAGTTGTAGGAAATCTTTGCACGTCTCCATTACTTTTTGGGAAGGGTATAATACTCTTTGTAGTAGCGGTCCTTGAGTTTATGAAATAATGTAAAGTGCTTCGAATCATTGCTATTTGACTCGGACCTCAAGTCTACCAGTCTGTTAGGATGCCTCAGTTGTATACATCATTGTACTTCCACTTGGATAAAATAAAGTGTATATAAATGAGGGAACTAATAAACTCAATGCCTTAAGATTTTTGATTGTAAGCTAGTTAGGTATTTGGCTAGAGGCGGGTTGATGAGTACTTGGGCTTTGGAATACTTGGAGAGAGGGGGAGCATATTAATGGTAGGTTTCACACTTAAGCGAGAGATTTGTAATGCCCGACTGCTTGTACGATCAATGATTCTCCCCACATATTAACATGAAACTTTTCAGTGTACTTTGTCCCCATTCACACATTTTCTGGAAAAACTTCCTAGAAGGTCACCCATTCCATAATTGCTCCAAGTCAAGCACACTTGACTATAGAGTTCTTTCATTGTGGGCTACCGAAAAGTAGAAACATCTTGTTAATATAGGTAATACCTATTAATTCTTATAAGCTATTCCTAACTGTACAGTCTCATACCTGCACAGTCTTTGGAATCCCTCTCATTCGGGTGTTGATTCGATTCATTCATGTACCCTTAGTTGGAAGTCTGCCAGGAGTCGCTCCTTGTCTGTGCCCTTTTGCACCAGTGATCACTCCCAGCCATCTTAGCACCCAAGAAGTTGCATGCCTACCAGCTTCCGCCTGGTTTGTCCTAGAACCACACCGTACTAGGAGAGAGGCCTTGTTTTGATACCACTTGTAATGCCCGGCTGCTTGCAGGATCAATGACTGTCCCCACACACTAACACGAGATTTTTCAGCGTGCGTTGTCCTCACTCACACTTTTTAAAAAAACTTTCCAAGAGGTCACCCATTCCATAATTGCTCCAATCAAGCACGCTTAACTATGAGTTCTTCTGTTATGGGCTACCGAGAAGTAGATTCATCTTGTTAATATAGATAATACCTATTAATTCTTATAAGTTATCCCTAACTGTACAGTCCCATACACGCACAGTCTCTGAAATTCCTCTCTTTCGGGTGTTGATTCGATTCATTCATATACCCCCGCTAGAAGCTTGCCAGGAGCCGCTCCTTCTCTGTGCCCTTTCGCTCCAGCGATCACTCCCCGTCCTCGTCAGCACCTATGATGTTACATGTTTGAGATATTCAAGTGTAATGAGTCTGACATTGGTTGATAATGAGCTAAGTGAAATATATATAAGTTGGGGGACCTATGAATCCAATACCTTAAAATTTTGGGTTATAATATGATATCAGACTCACTTGCTACAATTATGCTATCTTAGCCTATTGATGATAATTCCCCGTCATGGACTGGCCCTGACATTAATTACCCCCTTTCATATCAACTTATCAGAAGTATATAATTTTACAAAAACAATATCATGAGATCATATAAGAACTAAAAAAAAAAGGAGTTATTTTAATGAATATCACATACTATAAGGCATTTGCAATATTTATTAAATAAATATATATATATATATATATATATATATATATATATATATATATAATTGTGAGAACTGCTTAACCTTGAGAAATATCAAGATTAAAAAACAAACCCTTTTAATCAGAAGTATCAAAGAAGAAAAAAGAAAAACAAGGCACAGAAGAAGAAAGCTATGTTCAGAAAGAACATGATTCTTCCACAAGTTTTAGCTTATTCTTTAGGTAAAAGATACTTTGGAAGCTTGAGTTATGACAACTGTGATCACCCATTGTTAAACAATTTTTTACTGTCCCTTATTTTGAAGTTACTTCATTCAAGAAACATAAAATAATATTTGATCAATCACTATCTTGTTATGCTTTTATATATGCTAAATAAAATGATACTTTGGTGTTAATCAGGTCACTGGGGCAAATATTTACCTTTATCAGTTAAAAAATGAAGGTTGTGGTATTCCTCTGGAAACCTTTTCAAACAGTTTGACTGCCAATAATTTAAAGTTTTTCTCACTTCTAAATCATGATTAAATCATACTAATGGTACAATCTATATATTTATAGGTTCTAAGTTTTTATTAATTAGTTAATTGGGACATTTAATATTTTTGAGCTTAAGTTTATTATATGCATATAAAATTCATATAAAAATTCAAGAACATAGATTTATCACACGCTTTACAAAAGGAGCTTGTAATATATGTCCATAACGGGAAGATTCTCTCTCAATTTTATCATGAGTTATGAACACGTAAATCTCAAATCTGAGACATGATCTTCTTTCCACTCTTATTGTGCAATATTAATAACTTCAAGTCAAAAATTATAAACTGCCAAAAAGTTATTATAATTTAAGGAATTAATATTTATCTTATTGTAAGACATAATTTTATTTTTTATACTCATAAAAATGTGTGAGATCCATATAAGATCATGTAAGAAGAATAAAAAAAAAAAATATGAGTCTCACACATTTTTATATTCATATAAAAAATAAAATTTATCTGGTACCATGTAACAATCATTAATTCCATAATTTAAACATTAAAAATGTTGTCACATGCAAATCTGCATAACATAGTTCACAGGTCATGCTAACATAGTTTGTCTCAGATCACACTGCCACTCCAGCGAAGACAAACTTTCTACGTGTTTGTCTTTCAGTAATGTCAATGTCACACTCAGAGAGTATGTGGATACTTTCTTAGTCTCGTGAACCAACAGGGACCCAAACTATTCCTCTGGCGTTTTTCTCACCAACCAAGGAACAAACTTCCAAGTAAATTAAGAGAAATTTTATGTTTGTTTAAGAAAACAAATGTTCTTATTTTATATCATTAAGTGGGTACTACATCAGTTTTATAAATTATTGCTATTTTTATTTTGATTATATTTTTAATATTAAATTTAAGTGACATGTTATATTTAAGAGATTAATGTCTCATGTTATAGAAAATAAAAGTATCTCTTACATATATATAAAAATGTACGGAGCTTATATAAGATCATGTATAGGCCACACACACTTTTATATGTAGAATTTTTTTTTATTTCCAACAATATGACAAACATAGCCCTATATTTAATAGTTAATAGCATAGAATAAGAAGTTTTTCAATCCAAAATCTTATCTTCATCTAATCTTTCTACCCTCCAAATTTGTGTTCTATGGTGGCAAAACAAACCTGTATTTACTTATTTTAAATTTACAGTTGAAATGTTTTTGTATGATTGCACAAATTAATAGCCTCTTCTTCTGAGTCTAGCCATAAAAGCTTATTGTTCTAAATTGTCTTTATCATATAAAGCAAGAGGGAAGAAATTATCCATAAAAAAAAAAAAGAGGGAAGAAAGGACAGAGAGTGGAATAAGAGCATACTAGAATAGTGTGTTACTTGTAGACTCTCATTATTTATTTGGAAGAACAAACACTAGCTCACATTCCCTCATACACACAGTTTCTGAAAGAACAAACCTTACAATGCCTTGGTTCCTTGTAATTCTGTTTCTCAGTCTCACATTTTGTAATCTTTCAGAGGCTAGCCATGACAAGAAGCTTCCTTCTGCTGTTGTGGTTGGCACTGTCTACTGTGACACATGCTTTCAACATGATTTCTCCATGGGGAGCCATTTCATTTCAGGTCCTTATTGGTGGCAGGGTTTCAATTTCATATCCCTTAAGTTTTGTTATCTTAATTTTGTGGCTTATATTTTGGTTCTGTCCTGTGTTCTTGAGTGGCAGGTGCATCAGTAGCTGTAGAATGCAAAGATGGGAATTCAAAGCCAAGATTCAAGAAAGAAGTGAAGACAGATGAACATGGGGAGTTTAAAGTGAAGTTGCCTTTCTCAGTGAGGAAACATGTGAAGAGAATGAAGGGATGTACTTTTAAATTGATAAGTAGCAGTGAGCCTAACTGTGCTGTGGCTTCAGCAGCTACTTCTTCTTTACTAAGCCTCAAGTCAAGAAAGAATGGAGAACATATATTCTCAGCTGGATTTTTCTCATTCAAGCCTATAAAAAAGCCAAACTTATGTGACCAAAAACAAAGTATTCCAAACTCCAAGGGACATGGTTATGTGAAAAATGAACTTCCACCAAATATACCATCATTATTTCCACCTCCAATTGGTGGTCTTCCTTCCCTTCCTCCTCTTCCTAGAGTACCTATGCTTCCACCTTTGCCACAAGTCTCTCCTATGCCACCCTTTCTAGGAACACCACTCTTACCACCACCAGTCCAAGGAAAGACTAAAGGGTCCAATCCAACTAAAACTTCAGACATATCTGAAGATTTCTTTTTTCCTCCAAACCCATTTCTACCACCACCTATTATCCCTAATCCATTTCAGCCACCTCCCCTCATACCAAACCCCTTTCAGCCACCTCCTCTAATTCCTAACCCTTTCCAGCCACCAAGTCCACCACCACTTATCCCTAATCCATTCCAGCCACCAAGTCCACCACCACTCATCCCTAATCCATTCCAGCCACCAAGTCCACCACCACTCATCCCTAATCCATTCAAGCCTCCCCCATCAAATCCACCACCACTCATCCCTAATCCATTCCAGCCTCCCCCATCAAGTCCACCACCCTTGTTTCCTTTCCCACCAATAACAATACCAGGTTTAACTCCACCACCACCACCACCTCCACCACCACCATTTTTCCCCTTTCCTTTCCCTCCACTCTTCCCTCCACCTCGCAGCCCTGGCACACCCCCTACTTCTTCAAAGAAGACTTTTCCTTGATTAAATAGAATATATCAATGTACAATTCTCCTACAGTTCCTTCTACATGATGAACTTATTTGCTTTATGAATAGTGATGGACATGTTGCATAATAGTGACTATTACTGAAAAAGAAAATATGATACATTGATATATTAGTAATTAGTAATAAATTTAAGGATATGGTCATCTTAGAGCTTCAATCTTGTAAATACTTATTATTTATGTAATCTGTACCATTAGTTTCAATGCTTGAAACCAAGCTGCTGAAGAATATCGATTTAATTTGGAGAACCAGTTCATCTTACTAGTAAGGCAGATTAATATGAACGACCATGCAGGAATATCTGAAAGTGACAGTTGATATAGTAAATAAAATCTTGAGCTACAGTTGTAAGGATTTAGAATCAAATCCCAAAAGGTTTGTGAGTGAAGAGAAAGGATAAACTTTTATTTATGTAATGTTAGTACCATGCATCCTTGTGAGCAATGGCGAAGGATGGTAATTGGTAAGGAGTGGGTTTAGTTGATATATGTAAGGATTTTCTCCTTTTGAGAAAAAAATTAGACATTGCTAGATGTTCTGAAGTTGAAGCAAACATTTTGTTTGAACCAAAAAAATTGTATAGAATTGTCCAAAGGGAATCCTCCTTGAAGACTTCACAACAGGCTGGAACACATTAATAATGAGTTAATAATAGAGATAAATTATTTGTGATGTTGTAAGTTAGCATAATATATTAGTGATGTTGTTGTTGCTCAATGAAGCATAATATATTAGTGATGTTGTTGTTGCTCAATGATGCACTGCTACAAGTCTTTGGACTTTTTCAGAAACCAACCTATCATAAGTGAGGACAAGTTAAAAGGATAAAGAGAATAATGAATTATATCAGAACTCCGTAAGTCAACAGCTTCAAAGCCAACAATGGAGTCTTCCTTTTAGACATGCACCTAAACACTGGTTTGTGTTTGCCATTGTCTTGCAGTATGCTCCTGAAAGAAATTGAAATTACCTGACAAGTATTTATAACTGATTTGTTTGAGAATCCACTCCCACTCTCCTTACTTGTTGAATAACTTTTATTCTCCTAATAGAAAATAATTACCTTCAAATATCAATATAATTCAAAGAAATATCAAAATAGGATTTTAGGTCATACCTAGCATATATTGAACCTATTCTCTAGAGAATCAACCACAAAAGCCAACAACAGCTTCTCTCAGTTTGGTGTCCCAAAATAGTGGTTGTTCTAATCCTACTCACTACAGAATTACTGCTTTTCTTATGTTCTTTGTGCTGCCAAATATATAACTCAGTAAATTTAAGAAACTATTTATTATATTAAAACATATCCCTTAATTAATAGAAGCTTTCTTGAACACTGCACCCTGCAAAATTCTTTTGTTAAACCAAAGATTCAAATCAAAATAATAACTAAACATTCACCAAAATTAATGTTGACCTCATAACAATACATATTATAATATAACAGAAACTTAGCAATATTCTTTTCAATATCATCTTCTGAATAGTGAGATGAGACTAAATTTATAAACAACAAAGAAGAAAAAAGAGAGGGAGATTTAGCTAACCATCCAAATTACTGCATCTATAATACTTTGAGGCATAGTAGAATTTGATGGATACTATCTTGAGAGTGAACCTTGTGTTGCCTGGTGCTAGCTAGGCATCCAAATTCTAAAAAACAGATGTATGAGAATAACATTCACCTAGGATTCATTGTGAATTAACACACATGCTATTCATTATGAACTAAAATTGACATATACTTGCATTTTCAGTTTATCCAAGAACAGCACTGCAATCTGATTTGCCCCTCAAAACTAGAACCTGTAAATTTGTTGGTCCTCAACAAGGCTCATATGCATGAAGAGTTAATTAGGGGATCAATGAATAAGAATGCTTATTTAGAGCTGAATTTTGGCCCATTTATGCATGATGTTAAGAAAAAAATCTTCCATCTGTTGGATTTGTTAGTTCTTCTTGAGGATGCCCATCTTCAATATGCATGTAATGGGCCTGAATATGCAAGTTGAAATCCACTTAGCCTTCAACTCCATCCTATACAATTTCATTAAAAAAAAAAAAAAAGGTTGGCACACATTAATTGTTTGGGTTCAATACTCAGCTTTTCCTATAAAGTTGATGTTCTTTCTTGGCCTTGCATGATGGTGTGCCTCCTCTAATATAAACTTTTTGTATAAAATAAATGAGGGGAGGGAAGATCTTAGGGCATTTTCAAACCAAGAAAAATACAAAAACAAAAAAATTAAATCAAAGGCTATTAATTTAAATTATATGATGCAGCATATGATTGGAGTATCACACATGGGGATGCTGTTCATCAGATTAAGTCACGAGTGAACAAATAAAGTCTTGAAAAGGAACAATCCAAACTTGCTTCCTACCAAATTGAAATGTGGGGACTGAAGTGCTTGACACAGATTTTGATATCTATCAAGGAACCAACCAATGCATAGGACACAGATCTTGAGATTGCACAATTCATAGTTCCTGAGCAAATCTTTTCCTTTTATTTTTTTTAACTTTTTTCCAAAACAACAAACCCATAGAAATTATATTAAACAGGAAAAGGAAAAAATAAAAATAAAAATACTCAAGATCATGCAGTCCTCATCTCCTCTCTAGAATTTCTTGAGCAAAAGTTATTATTCTTGGATGACTCAAAAAGTATAATCCTTAGGTCAAAGCAGAGGACTAGTATTTTTTTTTTTCTTGAACAAATGATTACTCCCCTAAGTGTCTGAAATTGCAAAAGTCAACATCACCATCCTATATCTTCCTCTATTATGCAAACCAATGGCCTCAAAGTACAACATTTGCCACTTACTTTATCAGTTATAATAAGGACATGAGAGACTTAATTAGCCATTAGTAGTGACACCATTTTATAGCATTTATGGCCATTATCATTGTTTCATTTGAATTCCCAAGCCAGGAACAACACGAGTATTGATCAAGTTCTAGTAACAATATACCAACCCCACAACCTCATCTAAATGGATCCTTTGAAATTTATAATCAAATTTATATTCAATTTTTTTCTTCGTGGACCCTTTAAGATTTTGACAAGATACAAACCCAATTCAAATTTTTTTTTTTTGCTGTACGTGTCATGTGACTTAAATAACTAACATCACATGCTGTTTTAGAAGGGACTCTTTCGTATCACGGGAATTTGTCACTTGTGCAAGTTACAAAACAACATCTCTCTATTCGAAATTTGAATACTCTTTGGAACTTAGTTTTTTAAATAGCAAAGGTGTACTCATCCCACAACTTGCTTCCCTGTTGTTAGATATAAATGGTACCTAATTTGAAATAACAAAATATGTTTGCTTAATTTTTCTACACATATCAGCTCCTTTTGTTTGATTGGAGTTATGGAAATGGAAACTATATATTATATTTGTGCTCATGTTTTTCCCAATAAGCAAGATGCCAAATTTTCAGACAAAAGCTGCATTCAATTAGTAAAACTAAGTCATTCAAATCTATCATAATCAATTTTAATGCATTAGACAATTTGATGGAAAGTGGATTAGGAAACTGAAACCTGCCCATTTCAACTAATAGAACTAACTATCATAATTAAGGCCTAATACCTACTAATTAATCTCTCCGCTAGTGGTGGATGATTGTGAAATCTTTTGCACTAAGTACGGAATTTATGCTTTCCACTTGATTTGTTGTGTGTTTTTTCCTCTGCTTTTACGCTAATTCGCATGATAAAATTATGAAAAGTCATTCCAATATAGGTTCAGTGGCAATTATCCCATGTCTGGTAATGGTTCGGCGACACTACAGAGTTGACACCACTATATGAGTTTTTCTTATGTTATATAATGACTAGTATTTACCCTAAGATAAGTAACTGATACTGACTTTATGATTCTAATAGAGAAATATAATTTAAATTATTAATCTCACATTCAGCTGTGTACTAACCAGCCCAGTTAGCTGGCCCAAAACACAGGCCCAATATTGTTGGTTCATGCTTGGAACATATAATACCCCTAATTTAAATAATTTAATTAATTACTTTAAATTAAGTAATTAAGCATGTATTAGTGCGTAAAATTAAGTATAGGGCCTAATTAAGTGAGTTGGGGTCACTTTTGAGGTAAAAAGTGTACTCAGTGAAAATTAAGGGGTATAAATAGGTGCAAGTAAAAGTACCCAAAATATAAAAATAAAAGTGGAAATATTCCTAGAATAATATTCTAGACCTTTGGGTAAAGTTTGGTGGTAATTGGAGTTGAATAGATAGATGAGCTAATACCCACATAACTCCACTTAACTTATGTTAAGTGATTATGCAACAAAAAAAAAACCCATTTCCCCCCAAACCCGTCGAGCTCCTCGAAAAATAGAAAGGAAGAGATCGAAGAGAAGAAGAGAAAGGGAAAAGGAGGAGAAACCCTAGCCACACCAATCCTTAACCAAATTCATCCATTCCAAAACCTAACCCACTCCAAATCTTCTCCTCTTTCACAATCAAAGCTTGGTTTTGAGTGGGAGTCTTTGTGGAGAGGGGATTTCATCCCCAAAAATTCGACCCATATGAAAAGTTGAGGGATTTGTTAGCTTTTACCTTCATGGGAGCTTGAGGAACAACCATTCCATTGTTGTGTGATCATTGGTGGATTGAGGCAAGAGGACCAAGTGGAGTGACCAACCCTTGTGGTTGTGAGCAATTAAGGAAAGTTCAAGAGCAAGGTAAACCTTTGGACTTTGGGGTTGATCCCATTGAGTGTTCCACTATACTCCGTTGAGGAGAAATGGTTTATGAGATGTGATATGTAATTATGATAGTAATTGTATGCCCATGCATTGATTCATGCATTGATAAATGTTATGATTGATTAATTGATGTTTGATTGTTTAAGAGTGATTGAAGAATGGTTGATAGAGGTAGAAATAGGGATTGAGGAATGATTGATAGAATTATGATGAGAATGGTTGATAGGAACTTCCCTTGGAAACAGCCCTATGTGGATCTCCATGTGGTTAGAGCCTAAGAGAAACAACCAATGTGGATCTCTCTTGGAGGTTCCTAGATTGAGGAAAGGACTTCCCTTGCAAACAACCCTAGGTGGATCTCCATGTGGTAAGAGCCTAAGAGAAACAGCCCTTTGAGGATCTCTCTTGGAAGTCCATATAATGGTTATGGATAAGAATGTGTTGAACTGTTATGATTATGTGTACATCGAAAGTGAACCTTAGGGTGGAGTGATCTCCAAGGACCTCTGGTTTACTGTGATATATTTGTATATCTCACCCCGTGTTGTGGGACATCATTTCAGGTACTGATAGAGGTGAGGTTGATCGAGGCAAGAAGCATGAGTAGATTGTACCTGATAGCTGGATATTTTGAGTTGCATGCCATTTAGAATTGCTATATGTATATTTTGATGTCACATTATGTATTTTGGAGGGACTTAGTGCATGATCATTGTAGTGGTGAATGCCTTGTTGTAAATGGCTTATAGCTTTGATCATGTTCCTTTTGTAGCTAAGTCCTTGGGCATGTATATGAAATTTGTAAGAACAATGATGTAATTGAGACCTGATGATGTTGTAATTAATGAGGACATATGTATGATGAAATGGTCTGCTTGCTTCTCTTAGTGTATGAGTACCTTGAAAGATTAGAATTCATGTATTGGAAGGATTGTATGATATCAATTAGGAGACAGAGGACCTTGGGTTGGAAAATCCAAGTAAAGGTAAGGACATCCTGTCTTGTCGTCCATTTATCGTATTCTATATGACAGATTTGAACCCTTGTGTCTTAATGAAAGTTGTAGATCTTTTTCTTAGATTTCCATAGAGACCAAGATTGGGTAATTTGGATGAGTTCAACTCAAGTTATGGGTAGAATATCATAGGAGGTCAGATTGCCCTATTTTAGGTGCTTGCTCCAGAACAGCCACGCTATGAGCGTGAGATTCACGCTATGGGCGTGGGTGTCCTGGAAAATTCAGCACCTATTTTCTTAGAAAATGCGTAACTGGGGCTACGGTGCTCCGGTAGCGCGGTTTGAACCCACGCGTAGATAATGAAAAATCCTATAATATATTGGACAAATGGAGACCATAAGAATAGTATAGCAAAATTCTCAGATGAATAAAGAGTGTGTATGTTTAGCGTTTAAGAACAATAAAAGTGAGCTTTAAGCCTTGGTGGTCTAAGGGGATCACTTGGCAAACTATGGTAGTAATGTATGGCGTAAGTAAGACTTACAATAAGAATTCCACATGTAGTTTAAGTTATAATCACGTTGTGGGAATTGTTTTAAGCACAGAGTTGGTTCCAATTAAAAATGTTTACAAATAATAAGGAAAAAGTTTATCCGTATTTAATTCAATTTTGTGATTGTAACTGCGTTTAATGCCGTACGCAATGATAACAAACCGGTTCTAGAATGAGGTGTTACATTTTATGGTATCAGAGCAGTTTTGGTAGGGAAACATGTGGACTATTGTTATATCTGTATGGTGTTGATGTTTTATAGTTGTTTTGGTACTCTTTATGATTATTGCATTTGTGATCACTGAGTGTGAGTCTGATCAACTCATCTCTTTGTGTAACATGTGTAGTGTCATGACGAGGAACCGAAATAACCCTGAGGCATCGAATGCCAATAATCAGCCAAAACCTGTTTTGGCTGCTTTTGTTAGGCCCCGAAGTGGTCGTGGGGCAACGGGCGGGCAGTGTGATCCTGTGGCTGAAACTCTTGCAACCGTTCTGAGGGAGTTGACTGCTAGCCGGCAAGCCAACGAAAATTTGTTGAAGACGAATGAAGATTCGCGGAATGCCATGGCCGCAATGATGAACGAGTTGAGGACGTTGAGGGGTGCTAGACCTGCGAACCGGCAACCCACTCCTCCGCACACTGCCACGCCTTCTCCACCTATTCTACAGGAAGAGGAGGAAGCGGATAATAGTGATGGTGAGGCCAGTCACCATTCTGGTAGTCATAGCCATCACACTAAGGTCCGTCAACCACATGTTGAGCATGTTGATGAACATGAAGCTGAAGAAAGACGATTGATGGCTTTTAGAAAACATAAACCTCCTTCTTTCAGCGGAGGCTACGACCCGTTGGTGGCAGAAAAATGGCTCCAATCTATGGAGAAAATCTTCAGGGTGATGAGATGCCCTGATGCAGTGAAGTTGGTCTACTCTGTGTATATGTTGGAAGGTGAAGCTGAAGATTGGTGGACGAATATAGTGCAACCATTAGAAGCTGAAGGCCGGGAAATCACCTGGCGGTTGTTCGAGACGTTGTTCTTGGACAACTACTTCTCTAGGGAGGCTAGGGAACAAAAGCAGAATAAGTACAATGATCTAAAGCAAGGGTCGATGTCAATTGACCAATATTTTGCTAGATTCAATGAATTGGTGAAGTACGCCAACTATAGGAGAACCCTACTCACTCCAGCTGAGATGACCTCCAAGTTTCAATGGGGTCTGAATGAGAAGATGTCTCGGAAGATGTCAAATTGTGATATCCGTGAGTTTAGCAAATTTGTGAACCAATGTCGGAAGGTGGAAGAAGTTTATAGTGTGCCGAAAAGTAAGAAGTCTTCCGAGGCACAAGCATCTGGTGCTAGTGGAGCAATTGGCTCTACTTCAGAAAAGGGTCAGAAGATGGATGACAGGAATATCAAAGAAAATTACAAGCTAGACAGTCTGAAGAAAAGTTTAAAAGAAGCGGGAGTCAATAGAGTTGGGACAATGAAAGACCTATTGTGCCAAAGTGTGACAATTGTGGAAAGCATCACAAAGGCGTTTGTTTGATGGGCCAGAACGTATGTTTTAAGTGTGGTAGACCTGGTCATTATGCGAGGAATTGTCCCCATATCATGGGACGAGTTGCTTATGTGCAAGTGGTCTCTGATCTTCCAGCAACGACACATGTTAGCACTTCGACCCAACCCCAGCTAGAGAGGTTCCCATACTTGACGGAAGGTATGACGCATGTAGATTAATATGTCATGCATAGTTTATTGAGGTTGGAGTCGCACCTGCTTAGACTGCGGACTCAATTATGATTGTGTGATTATTTATGTCTAGTAATTAAAGACTAGGCTAGGCATAGATTGCTAAAAGATGATAAGTTGTATGCATGACCTTTCCATGGAAGTGGTAGTATTACCTCCATAAAGATAGTATCCTATGAGATTGAGAATTCTCATTGAAAGTCTATATTGAGGGGAACTTCACTTGGAGTTAGCCTTCAGGACCTCCTTGTGGTCAGATACCTAAGAGAAACAACCCATAGCGGATCTCTCGTGGAAGTTCCATCAGATGAGATTTTGTATGAGATTATTAGTGGGACCGCGGAAGGTCAGGGTTAAATATCAAGTGAATAAGTATGACCCTTGAGGAAAATAAAAGATAAAAGTGCTTGAATATATTAGTATCACCTAATTATAAAACATAGATTGAATCCTGAATAAAAGATTTCATCTTATGATAAGATGATAAGGAAAGAGAAGTAATGAACGGGGTAACTTCGGAAACACAAGAAGGGTTCTCCGATAAATCCCTAGTTGATTGAATGCGTGGTTTTGTCAATTTTGAGGACAAAATCGCTAAAAAGGTGAGGTGAATATAATACCCCTAACTTAATTAATTTAATTAACTACTTTAAATTCAGTAATTAAGCATGTATTAGTGAGTAAAATTAAGTATAGGGCCTAATTAATTGAGTTGGGGTCACTTTTGAGGTAAAAAGTGTACTTAGTGAAAATTAAGGGGTATAAATGGGTGCAGGTAAAAGTACCCAAAATATAAAAATAAAAATGGAAATATTCCTAGAATAATATTTCAGACCATTGGGTAAAGTTTGGTGGTAATTGGAGTTGAATAGATAGATGAGCTAATACCCACATGACTCCACTTAACTTATGTTAAGTGATTATGCAACAAAAAAAAAAAGAACCCATTTCCCCCCAAACCCGTCGAGCTCCTGGAAAAAGAGAGAGGAAGAGATTGAAGAGATGAAGAGAAAGGGAAAGGGAGGAGAAACCCTAGCCACACCAATCCTTAACCAAATTCATCCATTCCAAAGCCTAACCCACTTCAAATCTTCCCCTCTTTCACAATCAAAGCTTGCTTTTGAGTGGGAGTTTTTGTGGAGAGGGGATTTCATCCCCAAAAATCTGACCAATATGAAAAGTTGAGGGATTTGTTAGCTTTTACCTCCATGGGAGCTTGAGGAACAACCATTCCATTGTTGTGTGATCATTGGTGGATTGAGGCCAGAGGACCAAGTGGAGTGACCAACCCTTGTGGTTGTGAGCAATTAAGGAAAGTTCAAGAGCAAGGTAAACCTTTGAACCTTGGGGTTGATCCCATTGAGTGTTCCACTATACTCCGTTGAGGAGAAATGGTTTATGATATGTGATATGTAATTATGATAGTAATTGTATGCCAATGCATTGTTTCATGCATTGATAAATGTTATGATTGATTAATTGATGTTTGATTGTTTAAGAGTGATTGAAGAATGGTTGATAGAGGTAGAAATAGGGATTGAGGAATGATTGATAGAATTATGATGAGAATGGTTGATAGGAACTTCCCTTGGAATGAGCCCTATGTGGATCTCCATGTGGTTAGAGCCTAAGAGAAACATCCCTATTTGGATCTCTCTTGGAGGTTCCTAGATTGAGGAAAGGACTTCCCTTGCAAACAACCCTAGGTGGATCTCCATGTGGTAAGAGCCTAAGAGAAACAGCCCTTTGAGGATCTCTCTTGGAAGTCCATATAATGGTTATGGATAAGAATGTGTTGAACTGTTATGATTATGTGTACATCGAAAGTGAACCTTAGGGTGGAGTGATCTCCAAGGACCTCTGGTTTACTGTGATATATTCGTATATCTCACCCCGTGTGGTGGGACATCATTTCAGGTACTGATAGAGGTGAGGTTGATCGAGGCAAGAAGCATGAGTAGATTGTACCTGATAGCTGGATATTTTGAGTTGCATGCCATTTAGAATTGCTATATGTATATTTGATGTCACATTATGTATTTTGGAGGGACTTAGTGCATGATCATTGTAGTGGTGAATGCCTTGTTGTAAATGGCTTATAGCTTTGATCATGTTCCTTTTGTAGCTAAGTCCTTGGGCATGTATATGAAATTTGTAAGAACAATGATGTAATTGAGACCTGATGATGTTGTAATTAATGAGGACATATGTATGATGAAATGGTATGCTTGCTTCTCTTAGTGTATGAGTACCTTGAAAGATTAGAATTCATGTATTGGAAGGATTGTATGATATCAATTAGGAGAAAGAGGACCTTGGGTTGGAAAATCCAAGTAAAGGTAAGGACATCCTGTCTTGTTGTCCATTTATCGTATCCTATATGACAGATTTGAACCCTTGTGTCTTAATGAAAGTTGTAGATATTTTTCTTAGCTTTCCATAGAGACCAAGATTGGGTAATTTGGATAAGTACAACTCAAGTTATGGGTAGAATACCATAGGAGGTCAGATTGCCCTGTTTTGGGTGCTTGCTCCAAAACAGCCACGCTATGAGCGTGAGATTCACGCTCTAAGCGCCAACCTCCCTGACATCCCACGCTATGAGCGTGAGATTCACGCTATGGGCGTGGGTGTCCTGGAAAATTCAGCACCTATTTTCTTAGAAAATGCGTAATTGGGGCTACGGTGCTTCGATTTGAGCGCGGTTTGAACCCACGCGTAGATAATGAAAAATCCTATAATATATTGGACAAATGGAGACCATAATAATAGTATAGTAAAATTCTCAGATGAATAAAGAGTGTGTATGTTTAGCGTTTAAGAACAATAAAAGTGAGCTTTAGGCCTTGGTGGTCTAAGGGGATCACTTGGCAAACTATGGTAGTAATGTATGGCATAACTAAGACTTACAATAAGAATTTCACATGTAGTTTAAGTTATAATCACGTTGTGGGAATTGTTTTAAGCACAGAGTTGGTTCCAATTAAAAACGTTTACAAATAGTAAGGAAAAAGTTTATTCGTATTTAATTTAATTTTGTGATTGTAACTGCGCTTAATGACGTACACAATGATAACAAACCGGTTCTAGAACGGGGTGTTACAGAACACTTTAGAAAATGTCCCACAGTGAGACATATAGCAGCCATTGTACATTGACAATGGCTGCATGATGCTTTGTCCCAACAAGGCCAAGCTACAATGGCCTAGTTTTGTCCCCCCCACTTTTCTCACTCTCTCCTCCATCCTTAGGGAGTCCAACTCTACCTAGAAATACCCCCCTTCTCCACCGAAGGAGCATTATTATTCATCCACTTATATGAGCTGTTACTCTACCATTATAGAGAACAATTGTAACCGTTTATCCACCCTCCCCCTTATACAATGTTTGGGAAGCTCTAACAAAGCCATAATTCATATCATTGCTGCTAAGAGTACCCCTAAAATGACATACTTCACCCTTTGAGGGATACATACTAGGTTCTCTTGTACACTAAACAGTTCAAGCTGTTAGTTCAAATTTTTTGGTTGAAATGATTTTTTACAAAAAAAAAATTTGTGAGCATTTTTTACAATAATTTACTAGCATAGATAAGTCCGTTTGTGCATTATTCATATATACTTGAGAAATATAATATGAAATTATTAATGTGACATTTATCTTACAATTTAAATTTTTGGCTTGAAATTGTTATTTACATAATATCATAGCATCATGGCACTAGATGATATTAAGGAGCTCAATCCTCACTGTGTTTCATTCTATTTGTAACTAATTAAATATCATGGAAACCAATGAAATTTTATATGGAGAAATGTGTTAGAGAAATATAATATAAAATTATTAATCGTCTTTCACCTAATATTTTAAACTTAATATTTCTTTACATAATATTAGAACATATGTGATAAGTATTCAGGAATTTGGTTCTTATTTTCTTTCATTCTATTAATAAATGATTAAATATTATATTTTTTCCCTCTAACATTAAAATATTATTTGGTGGAGACAAAATCATCAATATTTGAGAGTTAGAGAAAACCGTAATAGATACTCTCAACATGGGTCGTCAAGACCTACACTAAACTTCCAACCACGTTTATCCATAATAGTGACTTCTCCTTTGTTTAATTGTTTCCAATAGAATAATCCTATTATTAGCTCGTTTTCATAAGCTAAAAGCCAACAATTACCTATAAGTAAATAAATTTCAACATGCTCCCACTTTAAAATAAAATAAAATTGACTTTGTCATTTGATTTTGAAATGTTGCCAATTTTAGAAGAACTATATGATCCGAGCCCAACACCTTAGACTGTGGTATTATCTAGTTTGACAATTTATTTAACCGATTGAACGAATCAAACCATGATTCATATACTCATTCTTTAACATTCCTTTTGGAATATCTAAAAAATATTTCATAATTTTTTTTTATCTTAGAATTAATAGAGTATCTTAAATTATTTCTTAAGAGTGCTTTCATATTTCATTATACTTCTTAATTTATTTCTTTTAGATTAAGAGTCAAAGAAGGATGGAGTTGAAAGCGACATAAATTGAAAAATGTTTATATTTTATTTGAGAAATTTGAAGGCAGTAATAATATCTATAAGAAATCATAAATTTCCTGTTTATTTTATTTTTCATTAATTGAGAATTTTTAAAACACAAAATGAAATATTTAATTTTGAGATTTTCATTTGGCATAGAGATAATTTTTTTATATTCTGAAGTTCTATTTTAATTATTTCTATGATAAAAATATATTGAATGTTCGCATGATGCAAATTCATT